TTATTTATAAAGAATATCTCTTTTGATTTGAGACTTTAGTCTTTGCAACTTTACAGATCTTCTTTATGCACCAAGAGCTTGTAACACTCCAAAGAGAAAGGAAAAATTTATATCGCATCATATGACCCCTTTAAATCTATTTATTCTGCATGACCGATTTCAATATAATGTTCCTTTTGAAATACAAAAAAAATAAAAAATCTAAATGGCTCCCCTGAAATATGTATGAGATGATATCTTAGTCCTATTTATTAGATATCTCTGCTGGGTCCCTCAGTTGCACAAGTTGGGGTTGTCATGGTGACTATGGGGTTTCTCACAATTCATGTCTTCCATTTGTTGGTTCAACTTATGCGCGCTGTAATATTATGCAGTTCTGTAAAGCAAATATTTGTATTTCTGTCTAGCAGCCGTCTACCCCTTATGACATACAAAGCAGATTGCGTATTTGCTACATCATGAATGACTTTTTAAAAAGTTTTTGTCACTCAAAAAGTTTTTGTTACCTGTCAACTGATCTATAATAACAGCAAACTAATATACTATTTAAGTTTTAATGTAGTAGTATTGTGCCGACCCAGTGTTATGTGATATACTAGAAGTGATGATAAAGCACATATGAAAACTCGTTTACACCAATTACGTATTTTAAGAAATATATTCATGTATTATTTTATTTTATTAATTTATTATTGTCTTTGTTACTCTAGTTTTCATTGTCATATGATACTTCAGAAATCATTCCTATATGCTGATTTGGCGATCAAGTAACCTTTTTTTTTTTGTATTCTTTGAATGGTGCCTATGTTCGTAGTCAAACATAGTTGATTTGAATGACGCTATATTTAATTTGTAAAGAAACATCAGAGGGGAAGAGTTATGGTGAATAATTACTTAAATTTTGATCTGTTTATGATAGAAAGGTGGTTTATTTTTGTGATGCTGTAATAGTGCTTTTTAGTCATTCTGGAGCTTGACAGCCTCAGTAACCATTCACTTAATTATATGAAAAAGAACAGCCAGTATAATACAATATATAAGGGGGAAAATGCACCCCTATAATTTTTTATTTTTTTTTTGGTCCATTTTGGGGCTTGACAGGCTCATAGATCGGGACCAGTCCTAATAAAATAACTAAAGCAATGCTCACTTTGCTATATGACAGATCGATTCCACCCAGAACACATTGGCACAGCCCCAGTCCAATTATACTCACTTAAACTCTGTACACATGAGAGAGCGTTCATAAACCTTAATCAAGACTTCATCCACTGAACTGTCTGTGCAAGAGTCAATTTATTATATTACCAGCAGCAGAAGAATCCATCAGAGAGCCTGATCTACACGAGCACAGCATACTGCTGGGAAACATTGTGACTCTAAGGAAGGAGGGATTTTCTTTGCTTTATTTTCACATTAAATAGATCTTGGTACGTTTTAACCTTTTGATGTAGAAAAATAAAATGTTTCATGATGTATTATGTTCGTTTTGAACAATATTATTGTGCAATAGACACATGACCTGAATTCTCTCATTTTGTCATACACAGGGGGATTCCAGGGAAGAAATGTGGGACGATTATTGTGAAGGCTGAGGAGCTTAGCAACTGCAGGGTAAGAGCTAATATTGATCATTAGAATTCAGGTCTTATTTGTGCCCCATGATTGCTTATACCCATCCAAGCTTGGCCAATATCATTCACTGCTACAACATAGACTCATGTCTTTTAATACAGAAGTATAAACAAAGATAAAAAAATCAATACCCAATATTTATGTGTGATGTTGATTTTCTAATAGAATGTGTGCATGTGTGTGTGTGTGTGTGTGTGTGTGTGTGTGTGTGTGTGTGCATGTGTGTGTGTGCGTGTGTGTGTGTGTGGTGTCACATTGTTAACTTAGCAACATGCTAACGTCAAACTGTGCTAAAATCAATTATGAGCCAATCCTCCCGTGCAGTTCCATTATTGATTTTGTAATTTTGATTTTATTTCTGATGAAATTTGTGTAGTAGAGCATCATGTTGTTAGCTTAGTAACATTATAAATTCAATTGAAAACTCTATTGAAATCAATTAAGAGCTGAGTCTCTCATGCGCTTCCATCCCTGATTTCGTTTTTTGGTAGTGAAATGTTGTCTGTAGTAAAGCATCTAGTTGTTAGCAACATGCTAACATTAAACTCTATTAAAATCAGTAATAAGACGAGTTTCCTACGTGCCTCCATTAGCCTACTGATTTTATGATTTTGAGTGTTGCTAATGAAATTTTGTGTGCATTTCCAGTTGTTAGCTTAGCAACATGCTACCATCAAACTCTATTGAAATCAGTTCTGACCAAGTCTCTTGTGCACTTCATGTGATGAGCGCTATTTGTGTGCTTCAGATCAGTTACTATGAGATTACATTTCATGAATTGCTGCCTATATAATCAGGAGAAAGAAAGGCAGCTTGCTAGGAGCTAATTTCATTTGGCTTCTCGGCATGTCTGTTATAGTCTATTCAAAGTAGCTGACTTATCTTATTTGTAAAACACAGGATTCAGTAATAGCATGCGTGATGTGCCAAGAACTTCAGCTGTGCTCACACACACACACGCATATATAAATGCAGAAAGACCTCCGCATTGCTAGCATAATTGTTACATTTGTCTTTCACAACAGGGATCAAAAGGCCTTATCCCATTCCCTGCTGAAGCATCGCATCTCACACAGACAGTGAATGTGTGTCTACATAAACGCTTGACAAATGGATTTCTGATTAGGCCTTTTAGCATTGCCATCTGGGTACAGTAGTCAAGCAAATGTAACATGCCAAGCTGTTTAGCATTTGCATAATGTTATCTGTCTAGAAACCCTGAATGGCCAAATACTCAGCTCATTTTTACTGATAGTGTTGTCCCAAGTGCTCTAAATCCACACGTACACTCCCGTTGCCCTCATAACCTGCTTTTCTAAAACATTCTCACCCTGCAGGAGTCTGTGATGATGCAATTTTGTGCCAACAAACTGGACAAAAAGGACTTCTTTGGCAAATCGGACCCTTTCTTAGTGTTTTATCGCAGCAATGAGGATGGAACGTGAGTAACACAGACACATGAGCGGATTCACAGCGCTCACAGCATCAATCACATCTTCAGGCTCTATGTTAGGTAAATGGCTTTCCATTGAATTCCTTTAGGTTAATACCCATAGTCATTTGCACCTGGATCAGCAGGGGTTCTTTTGGAATGGAACAGCCACCCCTTATCTGGTTGATTCTCTTCTTCAATAATTCCAGATTCCTTCACTCAGAGACAAAGGGGTTATTCAGCTTTGAGAAATCTCGGAATGTCTGAGCCTTTATTTGTGTAGATCAGATACAAGTGTTTTAACAGCTTTATTCATGTATTTATTTATTTAATTATTTATTTATTTATTTAAGCTACAGTTCTATACTCAGTACAAAATAATTGTGTGTATCTATATCAAATAACAATCAAAATATCTATATCTATATATACTGTGTGTGTGTGTGTGTGTGTGTGTGTAAAAGAGCAAATAGGAAAAAGGCTAGTATTGAGCTGTATACTGAGCCCATAACTGAGCAATCCATTCATGTCTCTGTCCTTTAGAGAACAGAGTCTGTTTTGTAAAGTAAATCCTGTGGTGATTTGAGAGAGGTATAGCTCAAGGGCCAGCATCAGAAAGTCAAACCAAATATGTGAAATATTTGCTCAGTTTCTGAAACAGTCCTGTTGATGCTTAGGAATAAAACCAATACAAATTTCCAACAACAATCACCTTTTTTTTGGACAGTTTTCAATATTATTGTACATAAATTATTTCTGTATAGCTCCACAGTGAAGTGGCAAACATGATATTCAGCTTTTTGTGTGTGTTAAAACATAAAACTGATTCCACTTATATTTTGCAAGTTTTAAACTCACATTTAAATTATGTCTTTAAACTAGGGTTGTCAATCGATTCAAACATTTTAGCACAGAATTTTCTCAGAAGAACAAACAGAAAACAAACAGGCTTGTTTAAATATGACACTCTCTATTAATTATGACATTCAAATATACATTTATGCAATGGTATTCTTCACCTTTCTCACTCACACTACAAACAACAGATTTTACATACTGACTGCACCAAAACACATTGGAACTGCAAACTCAATTCAAATCTGTAATAATACAATAATAAAACAACTTTTATCAGACTACTTACATACAATAATTTTACATCTGTAAAGCTGCAATCTCCTGCTAGTATTCATATTCGCATTCTTTGAATGTTGGTGTTTAATTTGTTTGGCTCTGATGATGATTAAATTCCTTTATAGATTGGAATGAATTCAGAGAATGGCTTCATTTGATAAATTACCTTTGCTCGGTTAAAGAGGGTCATTATCAATCAATGACTCATAAACAAATGCAGTGCTACAGAAAGAAACAATTCTTGTCCGTTCCAAATGTTCTGATCAGTTTTTAGAATTAGACTGAAAGGAATGGATCATTTCCAATTTCAAATAAGTAGACTATGTCAAATGAATGCATTTATTAAAGACATTTCAACATTTTAGTTTAGGTAATTGTATGTGCTAATGTTTGATTTCAATCAATCTTGATTTGATGTGAACACATACCATAAATGTTTTCAACTATTATCCTGTTATCTTACAGATTTACCATTTGCCATAAGACAGAGGTGGTGAAGGTCAATCTGAACCCTGTGTGGCAAGCCTTTAAAATCCCCATCAGAGCCCTGTGCAATGGCGATTTTGACAGGTATGGAGTGTTTTGTACTGTGATTGGTTTGTTAGAATTTGGTGTGTGTTTTAATTGGTTTTGGGAAACAGTATTTTGTTGCCATAACGTACTTTGAGTTTGATCTCTTCACATTTGAGCCCTGTTTAAACTATGGTTAAGTTATATACTCACACCTTTGTCTGAAAATCACACATCAATTAAATCTTAAATTCCTGAGGTCACTTGGTTACCTGTAAACAGCATACAGCTTGACCAACTGTTGTTGTTGTCGGCATTTTAAAAAAAATCTAATTTTTAAATGACTTTAGTCCAGTAATAAATATTAATCAAAATTATTAAAAAAAATTTTTTATAAAAAATGAAAAATTAAAGTAATAAAACTTTTGTTACAAAAAAATACTAGGTTTTGATTCAATAATAGCTGGACAGTATACACATATACAGTATCTCACAGAAGTGAGTACACCCCTCACATTTCAGTATGAGAGAGTGAGAGCGATAACACCAAATTTAACACACCTGCTCCCCATTCACACCTGAGACCTTGTAACACTAATGAGTCACATGACACCGGGGAGAGAAAATGGCTAATTGGGCCCAATTTGGACATTTTCACTTAGGGGTGTACTCTTTTGTGGCCAGCGGTTTAGACATTAATGGCTGTGTGTTGAGTTATTTTGAGGGGACAGCAAATTTACACTGTCATACAAGCTGTACACTCACTACTTTACATTGTAGCAAAGTGTCATTTCTTCAGTGTTGTCACATGAAAAGATATTATAAAATATTTACAAAAATGTGAGGGGTGTGCTCACTTCTGTGAGATACTGTACTTATGTATATTCTTAGTGTATGCCTACACAACAACGATGCACTAAAATGGAAATGTTTTCATTTGTGTTTTTGAAAAGTTTTCACATACAGACAACAACATTGTTACGATTGCTCCTGCTTACAATGGCCTCCATCAAGAGGGTAGGGGACCTGCACACATGTTCGGTCGACGATTCGTGCCTAGAGTTTGGGCCCAGGTAATCCTGAGGCCCCAGCCCGGCTATGTGCCCAAGGTTCCTACTACCCCTTTCAGGGATCAGGTAGTGAACCTGCAAGCACTGCCCCTGGAGGAGGCAGACCCAGCCCT